AATGAATGAATGAATGAATGAATGGCTTAAACACAAGTTTGTAAGGATATCTTTTGCTGCTCTCGTTCAAAGAACGGCTTGCCCTCCCTTGGAAAAATCCTGCTGGCACCCACAATGCTTACACTAATGTATTTATTAGAGCATGATAAGCAGAGAAATTATTAAAGGTAATTTTTGAGCCTTTGTTATTAAGCATATGAAATTTGTAATTAAAAATTCATCTGAAGGTTTTGCATGACATGCATATATAAGAATGGAAAATAACATAACCAGGATGTGTTATTTTTTTTCTGAATATTGAAAGTTAGTTATAGGATGCATATGGAAACTGGATTCATTTCTACATTTTAGGTGAGAGCATTCTTCCAGCCCCCAATTGAAGGTGTTGTTCTGCAGACTTATGGTGCGGGTAATATACCGAGCAACAGAATCGACTTGATGGAAGAACTAAAGGCTGCTTCCAGACGTGGCATCCTCATTATCAACTGTACTCAGTGTATTGAGGGCAGTGTGTGCTCTACGTATGAAACAGGAATGGTTGGTTGAAATACATAGAATGTAAATTTATATGTTCAGAAATTGTGCCTTACTTCAGACAGTTCATGGCTTCTCACTTTAAACCTCTGGATTTATGGTAGACATATGGGTAGGCCCTGGTGTTAGTTTTCTCCAAGTACAGTATGTGCCAAAATATACAGTACTGAATTGAAAAGATGTCTGTTGATACAACTGTCTATTCATGTGAAGGCTCCTTGCATGGCAGAACCTTGTCAAATCCTGAAGAAATGGTCCGATCACCATGTCCCTGTAGCATTCTTGGGTGACGGTAAGAGCATTGCCTTCCTCATCCTCAATGAAATAGGGGCCTAATATACCATCTGCTGAGATGGCACACCATATTGTCACATGTGTACTATGTAGCGGTTTCGGGACGATAACATCTGGCCGCTCAAAACCAAGGAAGTGAGTAGTCNCCAAAGAAGCAAGTTGTCTGACGACCACTTCCGTATGAGCAAAAATAATACTCAACTATGAATACTTTCTCCTCCGTCGAGAGACCCATTTCCAACAACTGCACAACACACCTTCCTTTTCACTACTGAGAACACGTGTGGCTGGAGCTATGCCCCATCGACAAATGCACATGCACGTTCAAGATGCGCGAGTTTCAGTACTGCTTCTTTTGGCGCATACTGTATTTTGGTTTATTCCCTGACAGCTCATACTCCATCAGTGATCCCTATTCATATATGACACCATTTATCAGTAAAGCTTTACATAGAATGTTAATTTGTTGAGCAAGGTGGCTGTAGCATTAATGCTTGTGAATTGTATGTAGGATGTACCTGGTTCAAAGCTCATCCAAGACAAGCAGCTGTTCTGGCTGAAGATTATGATGGTTTTGCTCACTCCCTGTAGGCACATTTTGGGATAACTTAAATTAGGACATAACCACTTTATTCCACATATATTTCAATTCATTATTCAGTAAATACTCAGCCTTGTGAGGATAACTGAGGAGCTATTTCAAGGAAATAGTGGCTCCAGTCTAGAAAAATGAAATTAATGTCCATATGGATCCATTGCGCTGACCACGCAACACCCTCTGTCCGCTAAAGTTAGCACTAACTTCGCCGACAAGTGGTGGGTGCTTTGTCGGTATAGTTCACATGCAGACTAAAGAGCCATGGAGTTCGTTTTTGTTGTTTGTTATTCAGTAAACATCCTTCTGTTCGATGCTATTTAGTCTGAGTTACTGGCAACGTTAGTAAATACATCATAAATACATAGAATTTTCATTTACAGCTATTGTACCAAGGGATTTTATATTACTCTTCTGCGGTTGTCATCACCATTGTCATTGTCATATATGTAAAGAATATTTTATATTACAGCTAAGATTGTCATGGCACTGTCCCAGAATTTGTCTGGGGGGACTGAGGAAAACCACAAAACCCTTCAGTCAAGAAAGATGGAATTCTGGCCAGGATTCATGCTGGACACTTTTGAAATATGAGTCAAGAACATAATTACTGATTATTACTATGTTAGCTGGTTTGGCGACCCTCTGTTGCCAATGTGTTAATCATATTGTGTTCTCTTATTTTTGGTTTCTTTTTTAATTTAATCTGTATTTTAGTACGTGTGTTCCATGCAACATTAGACATAGGTGTGAGGGTAATATTAAAATGGATCTAAGAGAAATAGGATGGGGTGGTATGGGCTGAATTCATCTCACTCAGCATAGGAACTAGTGGGGGGTTATTGTGAATCTTTAGGTTACATAAAGTGGTGGGAAATTCTTGAGTGGCTGAGTGACCGACAGCTTCTCAAGAAAGACTCATCACCATGGAGTTAGTTAATTAGGTAGTTTGGTCAATTGTTCCTTCATTCTATACTACATAAGGCATAATGACATAATTACCATTTTGTTGCATGTATGTAATCTGTATTTGTGATTCTGAGACAGGTTTGTGGATTACGATACTAAGAGCTGTGCCTGAAGATTGAGAGGATAAGATGTGGGAATGGGTTCTGATCATAATGTCTCATTGTACCTACTGTAGGGAACGTTATCCAGATGTTTGTTTTGATAACAATGAGGTTACTCAGTTTTCACTTGTACAAGAACTGTGGCATAGTTTAAATCATTAATCATTNCATTATCATGGGAATCTTAATGACATGTTAGAACAGATAAGTCTTTATTGCATCCCCGAATATATATGTTAATCTGTTGATATTTTTGCAGATTCTGGCCCAAGCAGGAATAATCCCTGGGGTTGACATGACCCCAGAAGCAGCACTCACGAAGCTGTCATATGTGCTGTCCAAAACAGACTGGGACCTCAACACAAAGCGTGAGGTATTTCTCACATTTTCCCAACTACTGCTGTGTGACAAACAGTGCTGCGTAAATATTTCCTCTTATAAGTTAAGTTACACAGATTGGGCTGCTGCAAAATAAAGGGGCATGTTCCAGGTTTTTGCAGTCATCTTTCCAATTTTATGGAAACTAAATTATTGTAAGAATGAGTAAGAAGAAGATACCTTCACATATAATTATTTCTGCTTCCAGTTGATGCAGAGAAATCTGCGAGGTGAGTTGAGCTCTGGACAAGATGGATCAACAAAACCATCAAGAATGTTAACAAACTATGGACTTATAACGAAGGAAGACCAAGCAGAATTGGAGAGCGTAATACTTCCAGCATGTATTATTCAGAATGTTATTGAGGGCAACATACCTGAGCTTGAGGATTTGAAAAATTCTGTGAGTAATTTTTGTTTTAAGCTGCACTGTATTTAGCACTGATTTGTAAATATGATTCTCAGTTGCTGTTATATCTTCCAGACATGTTGTTGTGGTTGTAGAAGGGCTGCCTCTGCGAAAGCCCCGTGCCCAGAGCATTTGAATATGAATATTTAGAACACCTCCCTTATTTCAGAAAATAGACTTATGCTGTCACTGTGTTCAAATATCTGTCTCTCATCAATAACTTCACGAGTCACTACCAATGGAATTTTCTGAAATATATATAATGAACATCATGACCACTTTTAGTTCACAGGATGGGAAAAGAGTTAGAAATGTGTGTAATATGAAATTGGACATTTTCTAGTTATTATTGTATGGAAATTTAATAATTCTGAAGAGATTTTTGACAGTTTAAAAGCTCCTTTAACTGAAGGAATTGGAAAAAAGATTAAACTACATCAGGAAATATTGACAAACTAAATTTAATGTATAATTTCTTATTTGTTACAACAGGGTGCTGACTTTTCATCTGAGAATGGTGATTTCAGGACACCACTCCATATTGCCTGTTGTGAGGGAAATTTGGAAATGGTGGAGTATCTGCTGTTGAACGGTGCTTGTATCCACATGAAGGACAGGTGTGTGTGAGAGTGGTTCATATTTGGAACATTACGGAACTATGTGATTTGCAAAGAGTTATAGCTTTTGTGATATGATGCCATATAGTCCGTTGAAAGTTAACTGACTTTTCAGAGGAACGTGTTACCTCAATCTACAGGATAAAATGATAAGCCAAGCAAGAAACCAATGTGAAGCATGTGCAAGCAGAGCAACCAGCTTGCTGAAATGTCAGATTATATAGGAAACAGGAATGAAACAGAAGACGACAAGTCAGTTCCTTTTGGCTTGTCTATAGGACAATGAACTGCCAGTTTTCATTTGGTGCCCCCCACAACCGAGTGAACCAATAGGAGACAAGATTAGGATAACCGTTGTGTCTCTGAAAAGGGCCGGATGTGCTGGTCTAGGAAAAAATTGGAGAAGCGGCAATCATGTGAGAATCAGGGAATCGAGGAGTACTGGAGTGAACTCTTAACACTTTGCGGACCGTGCACGGTTTAAAAGGTTTTTTGCTTTTAAACATGGCGGACCGTTCGCGTGTTAACAGGTTTTTAAAACACAATAAGTTGCAACACACTATACATCTCTCTGGCTCCATTTAGCTAGCATGTAGGTGCTTGCAGCTGCGTTATAAGGCTCTGGAATGTCTGCTGACCAATCAGTTACTAGACCTCGCTGTAACTCTATGCCCCTGCAAAGGAAAATAAATGCCTTTATTCCTTCAAGCTTTACGTAGCAAGCTGTCAGTCAGTAGTTCAATATGGATCAAAGCCCAAAGCGGTTGACACCCAGGTGATTTCTTGAAGAACAAGAAATATCTGACTTCTCCTCCGATGAGCTATCTGACGTCCCTTGTGAGTCTGCTACTGATAGCGACTCACAATTTGATAGTGAGTGTCACAGGGGCAAACAAAAAATTGTGACCACAGACAGTGAAAGTGACCGTAGCTCCGACGAATGTGCGGGTAGCA